AAGTAATCAACTGATTACACAATTACTCCAAAAAGTAATCGATTACAAGTAATTTGATTACTTGTAATGCGTACGGTACAAGTCTGGTTTCCACGTTCACGAAGACGAAGAAGCAGACGACAAAGCGATTCCAAAACGATAAAACGACTGGAACTGCTTTTGTGCGCTTGCTGACAAACCAAAGCATCACAAACAACACGATCTTATGGAGTACAGACATGCAGGAGATACAAGCCGATACCGGGGCGTCCCAAACAATCCAGTACGATGATGTACGCACGCCATAGACTTATGCAGCCGGGAAGCCGGAAAGTGATGACTATGCAAGTAGCATGGTGGCGGCACCACTTGCGGAATGCGCGTGCCTGCGCAGTTCGCTCGGTGACATCGGTCTCTTTAATTACCTGCTAAATTTAGCGGAGAAACTGAATTTAGGTTGTGGGGATTCCTCTGGTCTCCCTTCCCCGATGGCTGCGATAACGGCCGCGGGTCGGAACGCTCGGCCTTCTTCGCCGTGAGCTCCGACCTGTTCGTGAGACGGAGGGCCGCCTGGCTTGGGGGGCTCTCCTCTCACTCTCTCCCGGGTGGACCCCTTTCCGTTCCCCCGCTCGGATGCTAATCACTGCCGACAGGCGAGGAGGTTTCGCCTCTTGTTTTCCCCGCTTTCGGGAAAGGGACTCGTCCGGGTGACCGCGAAAGAGATAGGACGTGTGTCGGCGACTTCTCCGATGCTTCCCCGGTCTTGGCTCTCCGGAACCCCGCGTCTGGCCAGGTAAGGACCTTTTCTTACCTTGCCGGCGCGGGGGGCATTTTGGATGGGGACATAGTAGTTCATTTTATGAGTGTTCCAATAAATGCTCTTGGACTCTGTCCTTACTCTGGTACGTGTGTCTCCTCTTCCGCTATATTCGAGAGAGTGAGACAAGGTAGACGATCATTGGCACCGACGGAGGTGATTAATCGAACCGACCCGCGGTAATGTAGCCCTAAACGTCGTCTACATTACCGCGGAGATGTGGGGACCGCGCTACTAGGTTTGACGTCTCCTTTGAGATATCGCCGCTGTTGAGACAACCCTTTGGTTACTCTATCGGTACCTGTGTTAGTAGCGACATCCCACATAAAATGGCGCCCAACGTGGGGCCACGGCTTCCTTTATCGTGGTCGTGGCTCCTGGCCTCCGTCCCTTTGTCCGGCCTATTTGCCCGCATTCCTTGCCTTTGATCGCCCCGTACCACGAGCGTCCTGATCTCGCCACTTATGGTTGAGCGATTAATGCCGAGTCGGCAACCCGCAGTGCCACTCCTTTGAGCGAGCGCAGTGTGATTCGTACGCGCATTCCTGTTTTGAATTAGCGTGCGTCAAGCAACATTTGTTGTTGTGGGAGACCCTTTGTTCTCCATGCTTGAGGCGAACCTTTCACCTGTGTGTATTTAGGTTCCTTGCGCGCCACCAACAACTTGTCCTGAAGGGAAAGTGTAAATAGAAGTTTTGATGATGTTTTTGAGTACCGGGTGGACTTTTATTTCCGGCGGGGAGCGAGGCTTGGCAGAAAAGAGTAGCGAAGGATCAGCAGTGCAATCTGGGAATGTAAATATTCGCGTTTTCTTTGACTCAGAGTAGTCGCGGACACTCATTTAGAGTCGGACGGTACGCCTGCCAATAACGTCGATAAGTAGCTGGTACTGCTACTGACGGGCTCCGGGAGCCGGGCCGCGTAACCGTCGGCGTCGAGAAGCAGTTTGCACACTGTTGACGCGCGCGCTGTATTCACTGCTGGTATTGCAGTGGGCGCGGAGGGTTTTCTTCGGGAAAGATTTGTATCTGCTTGATGCCAACGTACTCCTGCAGCCTGTTGTTGTTTTCCAAGAACGACACTAGTTTTGCGTTCATGGTGGTGGCGCTACGCGGTCTGAGGCGCACTTCGACAGTATTTGGGTGGACGAGTGACTCCAAGACTTTCGGAGGTTATGTTGCTCTGAAACCCAGGCGCCATGTAGCCAGAGCGCCCTTTGGCGATATCTGTCAGACTCGCGTGATCCAGGTGGAAGAGCGATTCTAAGACTCTTAGCAGTTACGTTGCTCTGAAACCTGGCCTTGCCTCAAAAGAAGGGTCCACACCGTTGTGAGCCCTTGATCAAGCCGTATCGGGTGCAAGACATGTTTTTCTGGCCTCGGTAAGCTAGCTAGCTCAAATAGTTGGCGAAACTAGCAGGTTTGAGCATGTGAGCTGCGGCCCCTTTTGTCTTCCTCCCTAAGGAGCAAGATGGCGGCTATTTTGCGCGGGAACTTGCGTCTTCCCCGCTCGCAGGCGCGCATGCATGGCGGTTTGTTTCTATCGCCCCTTCGAAGTCCGCGTATCCGTTTACCTCGACTTCAGAAGACGGGCCAGCTGCAGACTGTTATCTGCTTTTGGCCACTTATAGTCAACGGACTCTTCCGGTAACTATAAAACCGGGTAGTGTGGGCAGCCTCTGTGTTAGCTGCCTGCGCAAAGGATTGAGAACTCGGCGTTTTTCCTAGAAGCTCTCTCCCCGGGGCCTACATTAAGCGAACTCAATTAGTTTGCTTGGTATGTGGACACGTTTCGAACGGAGGGGCCCTCTTTTTATGGCTTCTTCTTCCGGTGTCGAATCGGGTCACTCTGGCATTTTCCTGTCACCGTTGACAACCTGGCCACCTTTTTTGTGGTTTTTGTTTGTCGTTTGCCCCTGCCCGTTTTGCCGCCTTTGCGGCCTGAGGCAGGCGGTCGTCGGTTGCGCGCGTCCCCTCGTTTGGAGGCGGCGGCGCCCTTTATTCCCTTTCGGGACGTCTACGGCCGGCTCTGGGCGTGTTGGCTGCTGGCGCAAAACGACTTCGCAGGTCTGCTCCGAGGTCGTCCACCCCCCCCTTCACCAGCCCACTGCGGCCGAGATGGCGCCGAACCCCCCCGGGCGGCGTGTCTGGGACTTCCCCAGCTGGTCTCCGCTGGTGGGCGGCGGTCGTCGGTCTTTTTTGGTGCTGCCGCCTTCACGACGGCCTGGCTGCCCCCCACTGCAGGCCAGCTCGTACCGCGACACCTGGGTCCAGCGGCGTCAGCGCGGTGCCTGTGATGCTCTGCCGTGCTGTGGCGGCGGCTGTCAAGTGCTTGGAACTGGAACTTTCCTTTTCTTCGGCCTGGTGCGTGAGCTGTTGACGACGGACACTGTGAAGACGCGCGCTGGGTGTCGCGTGTATTTGTTGGGGGTGCGCAGAGAGAGATATTATTTTATGAGAGCAGGTGGGCTTCCTTTATTCTTTCTTGAGACCCACCTACCGTTTTAAGGAGGGGGGGATGTGGGGATTCCTCTGGTCTCCCTTCCCCGATGGCTGCGATAACGGCCGCGGGTCGGAACGCTCGGCCTTCTTCGCCGTGAGCTCCGACCTGTTCGTGAGACGGAGGGCCGCCTGGCTTGGGGGGCTCTCCTCTCACTCTCTCCCGGGTGGACCCCTTTCCGTTCCCCCGCTCGGATGCTAATCACTGCCGACAGGCGAGGAGGTTTCGCCTCTTGTTTTCCCGCTTTCGGGAAAGGGACTCGTCCGGGTGACCGCGAAAGAGATAGGACGTGTGTCGGCGACTTCTCCGATGCTTCCCCGGTCTTGGCTCTCCGGAACCCCGCGTCTGGCCAGGTAAGGACCTTTTCTTACCTTGCCGGCGCGGGGGGCATTTTGGATGGGGACATAGTAGTTCATTTTATGAGTGTTCCAATAAATGCTCTTGGACTCTGTCCTTACTCTGGTACGTGTGTCTCCTCTTCCGCTATATTCGAGAGAGTGAGACAAGGTAGACGATCATTGGCACCGACGGAGGTGATTAATCGAACCGACCCGCGGTAATGTAGCCCTAAACGTCGTCTACATTACCGCGGAGATGTGGGGACCGCGCTACTAGGTTTGACGTCTCCTTTGAGATATCGCCGCTGTTGAGACAACCCTTTGGTTACTCTATCGGTACCTGTGTTAGTAGCGACATCCCACAAGGTGTCGGTCTGTGACGTTTCATGGTGCAACACCGCGCGTTGCATTATGGGGTATTACATGCCATGGCTGGACGAAAGAAGGCTTCACGCCACTCGCCGCCCCCAAACAGGGCCCCCACCCTCCTCCTCCTCTCTCGCCAATTCTCAAACAAAAACAAACAAAACAATTAAAATATCAATTTATCTATTAAGTTTTAGAAGATCATTTACCTCAGTATACCGCAAAATCAAAATATCTCAAGAGCTGCCCTCTAATTTCGCATTACAGAAAAGTGGAAACGTCTGCCACTTTTAATTAGGGTCAATCACTTGTCTTTTTTTTTTCCGGTTTACTTCAATTTATTTTGTTACAAAACTCATAAATAAGCACCCCTTCACACACACACACACACACACACATACACGCTTTTTTATGTTGTCTTATTTACACGATAATGACAATAAAAAGCCTGACTTTAAATGCTTGTTTTTTTTCACCTTCATTTCTCAATAATCATAAGACGTCGATTTTCATAATTGGGTTTCAAGAAATTAAGCAATTTTTTTTATCTCTGATTCTGAAAAGAGTTCATAAATATTTCATGACAAGTTCGCGAGTTAAGAAATTTTTTTAAAAAATTTCACTGGGCATACAAACATTTTCACTGGGCATACGGAAAAATCACGATCCTATTAAGAAAAGAGAAACTTAAAAGACGGCAGCACTCCTTCATTTAATTTAAAAGCTCGACGGCCCCGAGTCCTAATTTCTCGGCCCAGGAATGCGTGCCATCAAGAAGCCACTATTTATCTTTGACAGCGTCTGAATGGAAGCCCCGAAGAAGCGCTGCTCGAGCACGGGCTTGCCGCGATACCCCCGCCGTCGCTTCCCGGGAAAATGGGGCGTGCAAACTTCTCAGTAATTAGGAGCCGTTGAAGACGCGTACAGCTGTCGTCTCGCGCGGAGGAAGAGAGGATCGAGGAAAGGGAAAAAAGAAATAAAATATATCAGTCGGTTCACGGCCGGTGGAGCGCTCGACGTGATTCAAGGGGGCCTCTGGAATCCGGTAAATACCCTCGTCAGGGACACAAAATTAACTGTATTTCGTGTTTGTTTAGACGGCGGGAAGTTAGCCTTAATCAGGGTCAGGTGTCGCCGCTGTGGATCAGGAAGAAAAACATTGTATAGTGTGTATGTTTGTACAGCGTGAGGGTAGTCTGCCTCAACGGGCAACTTGTCTCTCAGCTGCAGATGAGCAATTTAGTCAGTGCAGTACAACCGCTAGTCTGGGCCTTCAACGTGCACTACGCAGTAGTGATACACGACCGTACGCCGGTATGATGCTCATCTAGATCGAAACTGGCAAGGGTGGGTATTGAGCCCAAGATCCCGGGGTTCTGCTGCGCGAGCTTTCGCTCCACGTACAGTCGGCACGGAATGAAACGCGAACAGTGGGTGCATGGTTTTCGCTAGATGCTGCACCATCTGAACCAGATGGGAGCTGCAAGAAGATGGCTCCTCCCTCGATATGTTAGACTCTTGCTCAGCGCATCCAAACCTTCGGTGGTGCGTCTCTAGGTGACTCAGCGTGGGTCGAAAACCATGCGCTTCTTGTTCGCGTTTCATTCTGTGCCGACTGTACTCCGAGCTGGTGTGCGGTGGTCAACAGCATACACTGCACAAACAAGTTCAGGCTCAGCGTCCAGCCTTTTGCGATACGATACGATACGAACTTTATTTTTCACCATAAATACAAGGGGTGAATGGGAGGCCGGAGAAAAAACTGCAGAAATGCAGCTTGACGAGGCTCCGCCCGGCCCCGCCCCCCCCCCCCCCCCCCCCAATTCAGCAGCTACGACGGAGTACATAGTATACTGTGGTCAAAAAAGAGAAAATCAAATGAACAAATTGATTATTTGGATGTTTGACAATTGCACAATATCTGTTCTTAACAAAATATTCGTTCAGTGTAGACGGTAAAGCATAACTAATTTTTTGTTTTCCATAGTTGGTCCTGCATTTTGGAACTTGCCAGGCTACCACATCACATCTCAATGAATGCGTTAAGTGTCTCTCACACTTACCGACCCGCTCAGGAACAGTATCCTGTTGTGCATAGGTACTGCGTATTTGAGTCACAAATTCAACAAAGTATACTTCGACCGGCCGCGAGTTAAGGTCTGCATGACTCATCGACATCCGTAAACACAAGATGTTGAATTGGCCGAATAACGTTATAAGGTCGTACGGTACAAGATCCAGGGAAGTGATAGGGGGAATAAAACGAATCGAGCGTGCAGTGATTTGTAATTTTTTCTTTCAAGGTTCTCTGCAATAAATAAAAAACACATCCTAAAACAACAAGGCATCCCAACATAAATCAAAACGCGTGCTCTCTTTTTTTTTGGTATTTTACGCAGCAAGCAATTGGTGGTCTAAAATACCTTTCTTGTGAAGCCAGACCTTCACAGGGAGGTCGAAGTATGAAGTTTGAAAAGAAAACTTTGGCCACGTGACTAGGCTGCCATTTCTCTTTTTGGCGCGACAAAGAACACCCTAACCCCGGCTTTGGTTGTGCTATGTACTATAAAAAGGCTCAGGAAAAAGGATGTCATACAAGGCGCTGGACCAGGATTTTCTAGTTATGCAAGAAAACATATTCTCTGGAATAGCGTACTGCCAAAAAAACCGTATGCTTCAACAACCTTTTTTAGGATCCCTAAACTCGTCAACGACAAAGTCGGAGCCGAAATTCGCGGCGACAAAAGTGCGAAGTCATCGTCATGATAGTCAAATTGGCGCGCTCCATGAACTTCGGCCCCAACTTTGTGTTTGACGAGTTTAGAGCTCCTAGGAATCCAACAATTTTGTTAGCTGCTCGCCATGGCTCGAGACCAGAAACGAAGGCAAGTGCTCAGCCAGCTTTGCCTGAATTACCCTAATCGCGACACAAGCTGCCGGACGAACAATTGCGATAAGCCCGATTCCCCTAAAGGAATAAGACGGAAGAGGTTATTTGTTCTCATTCGCTTCCAGTTTTATTTCCAAATGAAAGTAGCAAATTTTTTATGAACTTTATTCATAACACTCTGAGCACAATGTAACACTTGAAGCCTAGCAACAAGGAGTGTATTGGAAGCCGTAGCGCTAGCAAAAACTTTTTAAAGTCGGCTGTGGCTTCGGACCAGTAAATCCTTGGATAACGCATGTGTTGGAAAGGTACGCCAAGGTATCTCGTATGCTTCGAGCCCCATTGATCCCTTCAAACTCTGAGGGCTTTGTGTCCCATGTACCATGCCAAAATCTAGAACTTTTCTCTACATTTAACGCCGCACCAGTAATATCGCAAACGTTTTTAACTAAATCAATAACGCTGCTCACACTTTTTTGTTTCTGCAAAAAACTTCTACATCATGAGCATACGCCAATATCTTCACTTCGAGTGTGCTAAGCCTAAAACCATGAGCGTCTCTTTTTTTGGCGACATTCAACAAAAAAGTTTTAAGATAAAATACGAACAATAAAGGCGAAAGTGGGCAACCTTGAAGTACTGAAAAGAGTACGGGGACGCTGCAAGTTACGCTACGTGTAACAATTAGTCGCGTAGAACAGGCACCATTTGACATTCATACGCCTTTGAAAGTAGCTTCTCCAATGTTAGTGTGCCTCAAAATGGCTTAAAGAAATTTATGACGTACGCGGTTGAATGCTTGTTCTAAATCAATCTGAAGCATGGCAATCTGGTCTCCTTTCTCCCATACAACGTTCTAAAATGCTTCTGGCTACGTGAACGCCTGTATGTACCGTCCTGCCCTTCGTGCCACACGTTTGGTGGTCACCCACCAATTTGCAAGTTACGTGCTGTAACTTTCCGTGTAGGATTTTTGTTCATATCTTATAATCTACACTACATAGAGTTATTGCTCGATAACTCTCTATACGTCAAAACTTCGTGGCGTCTTCTGATTTTGGAATTACACACTATGGGTTCTAGAAAACAATAGTGGTAATGATTTCGTCTGACAATATTCCTTTATCACAGCGAGCAGAATGGGAGCGAGTACTGTTCTGAATTTCTAGTATAAACTCAAACATAGCCTGTCTGGGCCTGGCGTTTTACCCCAGGAAGGTAACCTAGCTATTGCCATTTCGGCCTCCTCAAGGCTGATATGTTCCTTCAGCCATTCCTTTGTTTCGTCATCTAGCCTCGGCAAGGAAGAGTCCATCAATTCCATCAACATGTCGTTCTAGAGTGAGTTCAAAACGCCGTTGATAATGTTCCACAAAAGCACCCTCAATGCTCGCTCTGTCTGTAGTTATGTGCAATTTTTCTCGATTTCAAGAATTTCCTTAAACAAAGCGTACTTTTTTTCCGCTATCAAGGCCTGCCTGGTGGGTTGTTCACCGCAGAGAAACCGCTGCGTCCATGAATGTACTACAGCCCCTTCGTATCGCTCTTTCTGGAATTTCTCGAGGCGTGATTTGACATTTGCGATGTTTTTTTGCTCCCCGACCAGGGCTTTCACATTCAGCTTCACACAGAGTACGTAAATCTTGCTGCAGTTTTTGTCCCTCTGCATGAGCGTGCTCTATATACGCGTCACCCGACACCCAGAGTGGCGTGCTTCTTCGAACCGATCCCGAACCGCGCGTCCGTCCATCGTAACCGCTGTGGTCGTGGTTGCGGCGGTTGGAGACCCCTGAGCCCCATTCTGGGTGTCGTGTTTCTCTCGGAGGACGCCATAAGGCAGGTTCGAGATCCCCTAGTACTTGCGCGTCCTGGCTTTTGCTTTGCACTTTTTTTTATTTTTGTTTTATTTATTGCATTGGATGACGAGCGAAGAAGTTGTGCTCCGTCCTCTAACGGTTTCGCCTTCCCCTCCCTCTCGGCCAATATACCTATACCCTCATTTTTGTGACGCGTACGACCTTCGCCTGTTTCTTGCCGTTTTTCGTGTATATCGCTTGAAGATGGGCGTTCGCCCGAAACGTCATGTATTCCTTCCTGTCCACGTATTTTTTCGTGTAGCACGACCATATATTTGCGATTTCGTGTTTATGCTCATTTTGCTCGGCAGCGCCCTCATTCTCTTGATTCTTTTGAATGCTGACATTTTTATTTTTTCCTTGAACCGCTGCCATCGTCTTATTCTGCTCTGCCGTTTTCCTCGACAGGTGATCTACTGTATCTACAAATGTTTCGTCTTTAATCAGACTGGTGTTCAACTTCCACACCGTAGGAATTTGGTTTCCTCTAATTGTGACATTTAAGAGGCAGCGGTCAGCAAAAAACACTGGTTTTTGCCAACCAGTGTTGGTTTGCCCACATCACTTCTTATTGCACGCAATAAGAAGTGATGTTATATTCAATGTCAGAAAAAGAGAAAAGCCAACTGCGCAGGACACCTTGGATATCATGACTGAGAACCAGGTACCAGAGAGGTCTACATCTGCTGTACTAACTAAGGTTCCAAGAAAGAACAAAACAGAGGCACCGTCGACTAAACATTGGCCCATTTCACCCGGCGTAATCCAACTCAAAGATCCGACAACGTCAGCCAATACACCCACTGATCAAAAAAAAACAACACCAAAGAGTAAGACTTCGGCCGTTTTAACAGACACACCTCCAAGGAAGGGGTGGATTCCGAAGCTTCAACTAGCAGCAAACGTAATCTGCAAGCTTTTGGAATCTACTGACGCAGAAAGGGCCCGTGGCATCCTTACGCTTCTTCAAATGGCCCATCCCCTTATTAGATCATTGTAAATGGCGAAATGTAATCCCCAGGCAACTGCCACACCACATTTCTCTTCAGAACCTACGGTCTGGCAGTGGAATTGCCGTAGCCTCGAAATAAATTGCAGCAGCCTCATACGGTATCTTTAATCGCACGCTCCCCCACCCGACATAAACTTTCTACAGGAACCTCGCACCCTTCCTAATCTTCCTGGATATGTGACATGTGGCACATAACGATCGCAATCAGGACCACCTTGTGGCCACCCTAGTCAAACGCTTTCACACCGTGTTCGACTTCACCTTATAAACCCAGGCCGTTCCACATG